TTTAAACCGTTAAAGTGTTTTATTTAAATATTAAAATTTTCGAACTTTGTAATCCTTTTGTCATGTCTTCGTTTAGCACTCATATTCTCAAAGATATAAATAATATACAATAATACATCTCAGATTGAAAAGTCTAAAGATATTGTGGCTCAAGAATGTTTATTTGAAACACTATTTAACCTTCAATTACATTTTTAGAACCGTTTGTAAACGCTCTAGAACGGAATTACGTATATATCAGCATCTGGTTTTAATAAAGTACTGTCTGCAGTATCCATTAAAAACGCTTTTAACGATTTAAAACGTGAAATATATTACTTAACTTCGTAACAATTCATGTTAACTACGACCCGACGCTTTGGATGGTTTAAGTTAACAAACATTCCGTGTCTGAAACCGTTAAAATTGTTTTATAATGTAAAAAATTAAATTAATGAAAGCATTGAAATATTGTCGATAAAAGTTTATTTTAAATTTCTAGCACTAAATAAATGTTTAACTTTTTAATATTGTACATATAAAAAGGGAACACTGATTTTGAGACTCAAAGTGGTTGAAGTATGAGATTATTTAGTTTTTCGAATGGTATGTTTGCGTATAACAGCCAGGCCATTTGATAACTACTAATCTTTTATCACCTCTTTAAGGATCATCGCAATTCCAACCGAATTTATTGTGTTAGTTCGTACACTGCCTCTTAAATCAAATAAAGTTACCAGCACATTTCAAAGCTTCACCGGAAACGTTTTTCGTCCCAGATACACCGTTAACGATGGCTCGCAATCAGTGCTGAACAAAAACAAAATATTAGCTGCACTGTTTAACAAGAATTCCGAGTTCTTTGGTTGGGTTTTTTTTTTTTTTTTGTGGGGGGGGGGGGTTTTTTTTTTTTTTTTGGGGGGGGGGGGGGGGGGGGGGGGGGGGGGGGGGGGGGGGGGGGGGGGGGGGGAAAAAAATTTGGGGGGGGGGGGGGGGGGGGGGGGGGGGGGGGGGGGAAAAAAAATAAAAAAAAAAAAAAAAAATTTTTTTTTTTGGGGGGGGGGGGAAAAAAAAAAAAAAAAAAAAAAAAATTTATTTTGTTTTTTTTTTTTTTTTTTTTTTAAAAAAAAATTTTTTTTTTTTTTTTTTTTTTTTTTTTTTTATTTATTTATTTATTTGTTTACACTTTATTGCACAAAAAAAATTAAATAACAAAAAAAAAATATAAACTTATATACTAAACATATGGAGTGCAATGGGCGGCCTTATCGCTAACGAGCGATCTCTTCCAGGCAACCCAAGATGAAAGAGAAAAAAGTTTACGGGAAAACGAGATGTGCAAGGTGGGCGAAACAAAATGTACAATGTTAAATATAATCTTAAACTTATCAAAATAAAACTTACATACAATTTCAAAACTTATCTAGGGAAACTAAACTAAAATAAGGATTGCGTAAAAATATTAAAAGATAGTGACAATTTATTAAGATGGGTAATTAAGTGACATAAAGTGCTTGTAGAGGAGCTTTTTAAAGGATAGGAGGGAAGACGCCATACGTATGGAGACGGGTAAGGTATTCCATAACCTGACCGCAGTAATTTGAAAGGATTTGCCTAGATAGTTGGAGCTGTGGGAAGGAACTTCAAGTATAAGCCGGTCAGATGATCGCAAATCGTAGCTACCGTACGGACCCATGAATTTAAACTTAGATTTTAGATAGGAAGGAGATTTGGGGCAAAAAAGGATAGAATAAAGAAGATTAAGGATATGCGCATCTCGCCGAAAACGAATGGGCAACCATCCTAGCTTTTTACGGAACGCGGATACATGATCGAATTTTCTCAAACCAAATACGAATCTGATACAGAAGTTTTGTAAACGTTCCAGTTTATCCAACAGTTCCTCATTCAAATCCGGGGAGCATACGTCGGCATAGTCCAGCAGTGGTAAAAGAAGAGTTTGAGCTAGGATGGTCTTAGTGCGTATAGGAAGGAAATGACTAAGTCGTCTTAGCACACTAGAAGCGGCATAAATTTTACGGCCAATATGCTCAACATGATGCGCCCAGGAAAAGGTTTGGTCAAGGTATACACCAAGATTTTTTACAGAATTACTTATGTTAAGGACCACATTCTCTATATGAATGCAGGGAAGCTGTGCCCAATCTACTCTGGAGATAAAATAAGGACTTCCTATGACAATTGCTTGGCTTTTAGAAGGATTAATTTTAAGGCCAAAATCTTTACACCATTCTTCAATTTTACGTAGGTCATTATTTATCTTCTGCATAGCAAGTGGAAGGTCATCAAGAGAAGATTGGGCATAGATCTGAAGATCATCAGCATATAAATGATAGGAAGATGAGAGGTGACTGGTTAGAGAATTTATAAATACCGCAAACAGAAGAGGAGATAGGACACCACCCTGTGGGACACCAGCTGTTACTTCATTCCACTTAGAAATAATGTCTCCTCCTCCGCTGATGCGCTGACGACGACCGTGAAGGTAACTCGAGAACCAGTTAAGAGCAGTGGGAGAAATATTAATGGAATGTAGAAGACTAAGAAGCACTTCAAAATTTATAGTATTAAAAGCATTACTGAAATCTAATAAAGTCAATACCGTGAGCTGCTTACTGTCCATACCCTGACGAATATCGTCAGTAACCTTTACAAGTGTAGTGGTCGTACTATGACCCGGGCGGAAACCGGATTGAAGTGGATCAAGGATAGAATTTTTGTTTAGAAACTTACTGAGTTGCTGGTGGATAATACGTTCTAGGACTTTTGACAAGAAAGGTAGGATAGAAATAGGTCGAAAGTCGGAAACGTGACTGGGATTAGATTTTTTGGGAACAGGAATGATTAAACCAGATTTCCAGGAATCGGGGAATTTACTACAAAAAATAGAAAAATTAAGTATATGAGTAAGGACTGGTAGGATAATATGGAGGATAGGCAAGATCATAGCACGACTGATAAGATCACTTCCAACGGCATTCGAAGATATAGACAATATGCTCTTTTCAATGTCTCTATCAGTAAGTGAAGTAAAAAAGAAAGGAGCAAAGTCAGGAGTAGGGAAGGATGAAATATTATTCAAAGAGCGTTCCAAGTTGAAACCATTAGGAATACAGGGAGATGTAAAATAGGAATTCAAATTGTTTATATCGAAGGAAGAAGGGATATCAGGTCGAGAAGGCTTGCCCACACCCAGGTGTCTAAGGAACTTCCAGGTCTTGGACGTATCACCGCTGGACACAGAGTCATGAATATGGCGTCTTTGGGCATCGCGACACAGAGTGTTGCAACGATTACGCACTCTCTTATATGCTTCGCGTTCGATCGCAGACTTAGCGGCCCTCATCTTAGCCTTCGCTCTGTTCTTTTTATTTATGAGTGATTTAAGGTCTTCGGAAAGCCATGGAGCAGGTAAGTGTTTTAATTTAACTGGCCTTAATGGTGCATGTTTATCATAAAGTTTGGTGATAGCATTGTTGAACAGATCGATTTTACCGTCCAAGGAATCAGACTCGTGCACACCACTCCAATCAATCCCCAAAGCATCATTATTCAACGCTTGAGGGTTAACTCCAGCGAGATTGCGGCGAAGGACAATGGTAGGTTTATGTTTAGGAGGTTTGATGTTAAAAGAAACGTAGATCAAATCGTGATAAGAAAAGGCAACGGCGGGAAGCTGACCGTGTTGAAAGACTAGGTGAGGAGTAGAGGTAAAAATTAAATCTAACAAGGAAGGATTAAAGTTAGGAGATTTATGCGTAGCACTGAGAGGTAGATTGTGAAGGTTGTATGAGTTGCAGATAGATATTAGCTTTTTCGATCGATGGTCATCTTTTATGAGGCATGTATTGAAGTCACCCATTAATATTGTATTATTGTATAACGGAACAAAAGAATCAAGAGTGTTTTCAAAACATTCAAAATAATTGACAGATGCTGACGACGAATAAAAGACACCAAGCAGTAACTTAGTTTTAGAGAGTAGGATTTCAACGAGCAGGTGTTCGGCAGCATTGGCTGGGGGCGGTTGGGGCGATTGGCTAACGATTGAGAAAGGAATATGTGACCGCAGGTAAATAGCAACGCCTCCACCGCGCATTCCTACTCGGTCATTTCTAATTAGATTAAAACCAGGGAGGGAAAAGGAGTGGGAAGGGAGAGAAGGTTTGAGCCATGTTTCTGATACGCATATGGCATGGACATTACTTGAGACAAATGAGGATATAAAATCAGTATAATGCGCAGGAATGCTTTGAGCGTTAATATGGATTGCATTGAATTTTTTGGGCAGATTATGGAAAAGTGAAGAAAGAGTAATATCTAAAGGAATTACAGAGGAATCAGCGCTTTTAAAAGAACTTTCATCCGAGGATGAAAGAGAGAGGTATTCTGAATTGTCACTATCATAATTATACATAATTGTAGAGAAAAAAATATAAGTATTTCTTATGTAAGGTACTACTTATCAACCTAATACTCTAAGTTAGTACATAGTACTTTGCACTTTTCGCTAAATTTGTAAGTATATATTATATATCACACAATACAAAATAAGAAGCAATTATGGACAATAATATAAGTATACAAATGGTATTAAATACATTAGTTTGAGTTTAACGTGCAGGTAACATAATTAAAACAAAACGAGATAAATAAGATACTCATTTGAATAAAGAATAGTAACGAATACCTGACGGTATTCGTTACTAGTCTACTAGATTATCTGTGGTTACTTTGGTTGTTGACAATTGACGCATTCTGCAATAACGATAGCGCTTGCGCACTGGTACAGTCAACTGTCATGAAACAAATGTTTATTATGAGTTAAACCAAAACATACAGTCTACTTTAAATAAACAAACATGATTAAGTAAGTAACAAATTAAATTAGATTAATGGTACTATTGGAAAAGTTAAAATTAATTATATTACCTGCATATGTAATAGAAAGCCTAAAAAACAAAAGTATACTACATTGAGAAGACATTAGACACAACAATTCATGTCATTTGCGACTTGGCTTGGGCCTTTTTTGTAGGGTTTCTCGCGTTGCGACCGGAGGAAGGTACAGAGTCCAGAACCACAGGAGGGACGCTTTCGGGAATAACATCAATATCTTTCATGGAAGTGATGCGGCGACGCTCTCTGTTCTCTCCATAAGCGTAAATAGACCCTCCGCGAGTCCAGCAGTTGGAAACACCGAACCTACTCCTAGCAGCCATGAAGAGTTTGTGGCGTGTCTTGGTTAAGAATTCCGATAATGTGATGCCAGTACCTTTCAAGTTAGTTTTAGCCATCCAAATTTTATCCTTGATCTCCACATCGTGGAACTTTACGAGTAATGGACGAGGTTTATTGCCTCTTTTGACACCCATTCTACTGCAACGGCTTAAACAATCCTCGTTTACGTCAGGCAACTTAAGTAGGACGGACATCATTTTGGTTACTGAGGCAGAACTTTCGTCCTTCGTCTCGTTCACACCATGTAGTAACAAAAATTTGCGTCGACTCCGCATCTCCTGCTCGTCATGCATTTTAAAGAGAATCTGCATCTGAGCCTGAAGATTTTCGAGGCAGAACAATACTGAGCTACGAAATACCTCAAACTCTCTAGCTAGTGGGCATGTCTCCATTGCACAGCTTCCTGCTGTGGTTGATTCGCTGCCTGCTGTAGCTGATGCGTTGCTAACGTTTTGAAGACGCTGGTGGAATTCTTCCATCTTCAGGGATACCATTTCAGATACATCCAACATAGTTCTTCGCAGTTCTTCCATTATTGTTTTTAATGTGGCTAGGAGTAGTAAACAAAAGTATACGAAAGTGAAAAAAGTGTTATAAAAAGAAAAATTCGTGAGGAAAAATTAGCGAAATTAGTGCAATGGGTTATTAGAACATCACTACACACATCAGTTTTACTTTTTAAGTAATTAAAATATTTTTTAATCCCGAAAACTTAGAGAGCACTTGGACGTGTTTACACACTACCTACATTTTATTATGCTCTTTCTTAATCCGCTATACATAAAATCTCAGAAGTATCCTAGCTAAACCTTGGAGAAAAACGTAAGGAGTTTTCAACGTTGAATTATACTCTCCCATCTTATCCAGCCTCGTTAATTATGTGCGAAGCGAAATTGCACTACTTGTAGAAACAAGGCCTGCTTAAAAAGAACTGACAATGGCATACAATTTTAATATGCGACTCATTTCTTGGCGACGCAAGAGGTCCCTTTCAGCACGTGAATTATTTTAACCCTGTAATGGCGCTTGGCCCTATGTTTAATGTTCGAGAAGGACAGACAATACCTAATAATACCTAAGCGTTATAAAATCTGAACAATTTGAACTTTACGGCATCTTCTTCTGTGGACAGTGGTTCGTGACTCGGACATAATTTCGATATTTCTACCACTCATTGAATATAATATATATATGATACCAATTAGAACCACCCGAGTTACAGGCAATTATGGGAGCAGCTTTAAACTCTAATAATCGGATTTATTTGGTACTCTTTATAAGTATAAACTTTACGCAGGCTGAAAATGTTAAAAATGTGAGCACGTTGAGCGGTCATCATTATTAGTGTCATTGGTAAAAGCAACTTGGGATTAGCGTCGTAGGTGAAAAAAATACTATATTTCTTAAACACTTTTGCACTTTGAATGTAGTTTGCATTTATTACTTGCGACTTATATGCAGAGGAACTTCATTCCTGTGGCATTGCATTATCCATTATTTCCTGTAAAGGCCATGCATGCAATGCACAGATGTCGCCAGTGTTCAATAATCCAAGTAGGCCAAACGATTTCTAAAGTCAATTAGAAGCTACTACTACGAAAACGCATTTAGGTCATTTAGCACTCTGAGCGAGCAATCAATGGAAAGTAGTTCAAATTAACTTAAATTACGAAAGTTATAGCTTCTAAGGAAGTAAATCAGTAAGTGCTTAAGATTGGTATAAGGCTAACAAAGTGGTTACATTTGTATTCTACACAATGCTTATAAACAAATGACTAACTTGAATGACATTTCAAACTTCGAATATAGAATCACTGAAGTCTTATAACTAGCTTCTATATTTAAATTACGTAAAATTGATAGTACAGTAAAAGATTAAGTAGGTTGCGTAGAACACAGTAGCTCAATTGGTTAGAGTAATAGCACGGAAAGCTATCGATGCCGGTTCAAGTCCTGCCCGTGTCGTGGTTTTTTCAATATAACATCGATTTTTAATTTGGTTAAATGATTATTTTTTTAAACAGGGAGAAATATTTACTTTTATAGTATAGTAACCAAAGCCAAAATAGGTCGATAACGCATCTTGGCACCTTCAATTAAGTGAACCCCATGCTTGTCTGTCATCCTCTCACATAAAAAAATAAGCCTAATGAATATCAATATTAAATAACGTACTACTACTACTTTTAACAGTAACCTCAAAAATATTAGTTAATTTATTTTAACTGCTACGATTTATCGCGTTTCCAACTACAGACAGTACTTAATCACAATAAAGCTTAAAATTACAATTTATTTGCATCTTTTAGCTTCCTCCGCTGGCTCACAAAGCCCAGTGAAATATTTTTATAGATCTTTCATATTCTGGCATCCCGCCAACACATTATCGAATTGAAGTCGTTAGCCACTAAGAAATTAGCTTTAAAAAGTTTCGCAGTTACTTTATCTTAAGTAAGCAAAAAAATTCGCCCAAGATACAGCTTTTAACAGGATTTTATAAATTTAGCATTTACCATTACGCCCACAAATGCGCGACCAACAGCACGTAACAACTAAAATCTATTCTTAATTTATATAATGCCATCGTGTGCAATGTGAAAATATCAAGTTTTAATATTATAATATGCCTCGGTGAATTGGGTCTAAGTGAAGAAACTTCAAATCAACTATTTGCCGATACAAACGTGCCAACCGACCTTTATCAAACGCTTAACAATCTATTTTCTTTGTCCGCAGGTAAACAATGGATTCCGAAGACCGAGTGCGGAACAGTACGACATTGGCCGGTTAAAATATGATCTTGTTTACTTAGAATTGAAAATGTTTAAGTATAGCAGACGTACAGTCTATAAATAGCCCTTTTTTATTATATTGCGACACTTGAAATAATGTTGAGTTATTTTTATGATAGGACAGTCAAATAGGAGGTCCACTTGAAATATCCCAGCCATATAACATTTAACAAGATGCGCTGTCGCCCTTTTTTGCTTTTGGATAGTCGGAAATCAACAGAACCGAAATGCGATTTACCTTAACAGTGTTTCGTGATCTGAACGGAATTTCGATGTTCCTGCCATCCATTAAATATCCAGAAAAAAAAATAGAAACATTTATTTATTCTTAATTGCACAAGAAATAATAATAATATAGAAAAAACCAATGGGGTGAATGAAGTGGAATGGGCGGCCTTATCGCTAACGAGCGAACTCTATCAAACAACCTAGAATTTAAGGAAAAAGTAGAAACATGTTATAATCTGTGGGGATTGTACCCAAGAACCGTTGAATATTGGCCATATATTTTCAAATCATTATATATAAGACATTCATTGTTTTTAGTAAAGTCACGCTATTCCTAATTTTACCGTTAAGAAAATTTTTTTTTTTATATTATACAGATTTAATAGTAAACATGGTGCCAACTGTATTCAATTGGCATAACGAGTGCCTCAGGCAATGTTGCAACAAAATGCAATTACGCACCAATGTTGCCAATTTGGGGACTCATTGTCACGCGCGTGGGGGGCGTTTTTCGCCCCAAATTAGGTTCTGTCTAAAGCCGCGGGGTGTCGCCGCTCCCCTTGTATTAGCTACTTTAAGCTATAATCCTTTTGTCAGAAACAAATTCGTATTAGATGGCCTGCAGTGAAATCGTGCGATTATTCGTTCCCCATTGGTTTAATAAAAGTTAATTATTTTTTGTAACTTCTCACTTTGTAATAGGCAGGTAAAGCTATCTACTAAAGTCGAAATATAAATATTACAGTAGTATCTTACATTAAAAAACGCCGTTGGCTATTAAATATAACCATTTGAACAGATTGTAACTTAATTTTTTTAAATCATATAGTCCAAATCAACCAAAGCTGCGACTCTTTGCGCAAATCATTTTTTCCACATACAGTTAAACAAACAAATAGAATACTTGTTAATTAAATGTACATGTAGGGACAGACGGTAGAAATATATACATAAAAACATACACACATTTGACAGTGAATAATTAATGTACAATATACTACATACATTTTAATGTACATTAATAAACACTAACGGTTGGTTCCAGCAGCGGTCTCCCCGTGACCACGGATGCTGCAAGGCTTTCGAAACGTCGGGCCCTAGTAAAAATCATTTTCAAATTAGTTTAACTAAAATATATCACGTTTTAAACTGTTAAATTAATTAATTTAATTGTATAGTACTCGTGTGTAAAAGACAGTACATATAGTTTTGTAATACGTAATTAGCAAGTCAATATTTAAATACTGTCTATAGTTTACGCGAGTAGTACACATTTAAATAAAACACTTTAACGGTTTAAAACGCGATATATTTAAGTTAAAAATTAATAAAAGAAAGAAGTTAAAAATACTGTCTATAGTTTACGCGAGTAGTACACATTTAAATAAAACACTTTAACGGTTTAAAACGCGATATATTAGTTAAACTTATTTGAAAATGATTTTTAACTTCGGCCCGACGTTTCGGATGCTTTGCAGCAGCCGTGGTCACGGGGAGACTAAAGATGGAGGATGTCTCAGACGTCAAAGTAAAGAATTGCTACGCTAGCGCCATCTGTTCCGTCGAAGTTGGTATTTGGCGAAACTGGCCGGGTCCTTACAGAATTGACTAACGGTGTCTTCGCGTTTGCTGGTATGCTGTTTATTGGGATCCAGAGTTTTTAATATGGGATCCCAGGTGTTTGATAGTTTGAGGCCGTCCTCCCTATTGAAATTTCGGTGTTTTTTGATTTCAATTGCTTCGCGTACCAATCTTGGAAAAAATCGACTCTCCTTTGCGAGGATTTTTGGTTGGTCAAAGCGAATGTAGTGATTGGGCCCTTCTGATGAGTGTTGGCATACCGCAGATTTGGAGAGACGTTTATGTTTTATATCCGCGACGTGTTCTTTAATTCTGTTTGAGATGCTACGCTTTGTTTGGCCGATGTAGGATAGGCCACAATCACAATCCAGTCTGTAAACGCCTGCATCTTGTAAAGGGATAGTACACTTGCTTGGTTTCAGGAATTGCTGAATCTTCTTGTGCGGCTTGAAAATTGTGTCAATAGAAGCTCGATTTAGGACTCTGCTAATTCTATCTGTAACTCCCTTCACATATGGTAGGTAGGCGGGCTGACGTTTGACTGTGGGTGGCTTGTTCCTGTTCCTGGGATGCTGCGGAGGGACTCTCAGCTTGTTCTTGCATAGGACCTGCTTGACATGCTGTAACTCCTCATTTAAGTGGGCAGCATCACAGAGACGGCGGGCTCTCTGAAACAAAGATACTCCGACAGAACTAAGTTGGCTGGGGTGGTGATGTGAGTCACCGTTCAAATACCTATCTGTATGGGTTGTTTTTCTAAAGACGGTATGCCCAATATTACCGTGTTCATCACGAATTACTAAAATGTCTAAGAAAGGTAGTGTGTTATTGTCCTCCTGTTCCATTGTAAACTTAATGTTATTGTGAATTGAGTTAAGGTGTGTAAGAAATGCAGATACTTGTGCTTTGGGTAAGATGGTGAAGGTATCATC